AGATGGTTGTGAACCACCATGTGATTGCTGGGAATTGAACTCAGGACCTCTGGAAGAGCAGCCTTAACCTCTGATCCATCTCTCCAGCCCCCCATAAAATATATCTGGATCTTATTCTTTCCCCTCCACCAGCTCCTTCCAGATCCCCCACCACCCCACCCAACTTCATGCTCTTTCTCTCTTAAAACACACACACACACACACACACACACACACTCCAAAGCATGGAGTCTGTTTCATCTTGGCTGCCTGGAGTGTGGCTTCAGGCTGCCTCTTCGTCCCCTTCACACTGTTCTTCTTATAGCAGTGATTCACTTTGACAAGTAGCTTAGAGAATTCTCCTGTGTGTTTGGGCGTCACATCTAGGAACTCTCTGACTTCCCCGACACTCTGCAGGTTTTTCCCATGTGTTTTGTTTATAGCCATGGGCCATTCATTTTGCATTGGTTTTTTTACCTGTGGAATAATCTTGTCTACTTCTACAAAAGAGATTGCGGCAATTTTTGACAGGAATTTCTTTAAGCCTGTATACCAGTTTAGGGAGAATTGGCATGTTTGCCACGTCAAATTCGCTAAGTCATTAACATGAGTTACTTACAATTCATTTACATATTTTTCCAGTAGCATTTTGGAGTTTCAAGCATACAAATTCTGCATATGTTTTTGTTAGGTTTATGCCTGAGTTGTGGGACTTTTTTGAGTGATTTGCAATGGTATTGTATTTTTAATGTAATTATTATATATGATGATTAATACTGTATGTGGATATTATGACCTTGTTAATTTCACTTGTTAGCTCTGGGAGAGGTTGTTTATCTATAGATTCCTTAGACTGTTCTATATAGACAGTCTTGCCATCAGCAAGATGATGGTCCTGTGTTCGTTCGTTCTTTCTTTCTTTCTTTCTTTCTTTCTTTCTTATTCTTGCCTTATTGCATTAGCTTGAACTTCCAGCATTGTGTCAGTGAGAGTCTGTCCTGCCTTGTTACATCTGTAGCTGAAGAGTTTTGTTAATGCTTTTATAATTCTTTTTTCATTTTGTGTGTTAGGGTGTTGTAGCTGCATGCATGTATGTGTACCATCTATATGCAGTACCCACAGAGGCCAGAAGAGGGCATCAGATCCCATGAACTTCGAGACATGCCATGAAAAGTGACTTTTCTTCTTAGAGGGTATGAAGCCAGGTGGCCATGGGTTAGCTCCACACACTTCCTCAGGGTCTTAGGTAGAGTTCAGCCTTTGAGTGATTAGGAGACACAAGCTAGAAATAAAGAAGTCATTACTTATAGGTCTGGGGATAGGCAGGTGGCCTGCAGGCCACACAGAGAGGCCAGGAACACAAGGACAAAGACAGAAGATGACCTGTAGGTTGATGCCTTTATTGAGTCCTGAGAATTACCCTGTGAGGTTCCTCAGGGGGAGGTTTAATGGGCGATTTAAAGCGAGCAGACACAGTTCTGAGAGGCTATGGTGACGATGAAATAGTTTCTGTGGCATAGGGCTGCGCGGCGTGTGCAGGGCGTGGGGCCAGGAGGGTGACTCAGGTAGGCTGTTCCGAGGTGTCCACAGGGAGGTGGTCACCAGGAGGGAGTGCTTTAAGGCAGGCATTTGGACTGACACCTGAGTAGAAAAGAAGCAGACAACCGGAAGCTGGGCTGGGGTGACTGAACCTGCTCTGGAGTGAGGAGTGTAAGGTCATACGGCACCGGAAGGATTTCCCACAGGTCGTGAAGCATCAAGGGCTTAAGAGATTGATCCAAATTGAGTCATTCTTCTTTGTGGCGTTTTTTATTGTGTACAGAGGATAAACACTAGCAAATATATTTTAGGAAAGAGGGATTAGGCATGTGGGAGGCTAAAGCATAAAGAACCCAACTTAGAGGCCAGCCTGAGCTACTTGGCAAAATCCTGCTAAAAGAAAGGGAGGAAGGGAGCAGAAATGCCTCGACGTGGTGTGAACCAGGCATGTTGAGCATCCATAGGAGGGCATGTCAAAGCAGCTTGTTGTCGAAGACACACAGAGATGGCGTGATGTGTCTAAACTTGAGCACATCTTCCTGGGCTCACACAGTGGGCTAGAGCACCCAGCGCTGTAAGGACCTGACTTCGGAAACTCCTTTTTAAAGAAGGGGTTTCATCTTAAGCCATATAATAAGTTGTGGGGAGAGCAGATCTCAGCTCCAGGAATATGCTACGATAGCAGAAATTGAACAGATACCCTAAAAATAGCCAATTAAGGAGCTAGGGAGCAGGGCCATAAAATTTAACGAGGTCCAGATGTTCTTGGGAGACATCCTGTCCTTGACGACACCTTTTCAGCTCTTTGTTAAGTTTTTGTGCCCACTACCTTATCCTGTGTGCTCCTCACCCAACCCCAAGACGACAGGACTCAAACACCCCTGACTGTGGCGTTGTCCTCTTTAAAAGTTTGCCCCTTTCCCTGGGTTCGGGGCTGCACTTCCCTCGCCCACTGCATTGGTATGGTGGAGGTGTAGTCCAAACCTGAGTTTGAATTAAAAACCCTCATGTCATTTGCATTGGAAATCCGGCTCCATGAATTCACTTGGGGACCAGAAACTTGGGCATAACAGTACCAACTGCAGAACTTCCTTAAGCGACCTGCGTGCCATCTGCCTGTGCCAGCAACGGTGTCACCTAGCCACGTGCTACTTGAAATGGTACTCACACCGCTGATGAACCGAATTGCTAAGTTTGGAATTTTCAGTGGCATCAGCCTGGTAAGGGTGTCCTGGCATCACAGGTCCGTGCTAAGGCACCGCCGCTGCCACCCAGTCTTATCTGCAGGCGTTAGACACAGGAGGACACACCCAGCACACCTGCATTCCTGTGAGGCTGGAAGCTGTGAGCTGGCATCTGCCTAGAGCTCAGGTGACCTGTGGAGGGACAGGGAGTCAGGGAGGCCAAAGAGACTTCTGGGGTACCAACAAGGTTCTGTTTCTTGGACTGAGTACAAGTGACCAAGAAGGGAGGGGGAAACAACTTTTTTTCTCATTAGAAAATTAAAATATATTCATGGTAAAAATGAAAGATTCTCCGAGGAAGCAAAAAAAAAAAATAGGAAAATGGAATCTTACAAGCAAAAGATAACTGTTGGTGTTTTTGAAGGTTCCCTCCCAGCATGTTTGAAAAATAGGATTGTTCTGTTACCGTTTGAAACAGTGTTTGAAGAATTTTTTAGATTTATTTATTTATGAGAGTTTGACTTGAACATATATGTCTGTGTACCGTGTGCATACCTGGTACCCCTGGAGTCAGAAGGGGCACTGTGTACCCTGGGACTGGAGTTATAAATAGTTGGCTGTGAGCCTCCATGTGGGTGCTGGGAATCAAACCCAGGTCCTCTGCAAGAGCAGCCAGCGTTCTTAACCTCTGAAAGATTTCTTCAGCCTCTCAAAAGCCATTTTTCTTACATCTAACAACAGATGCTAACTTTTCTACTTGGCTTTTGTTTTTTATAAGTCTTTTTTTTTCCTTCTTGTTTAATGTACATTGGTGGTTTTGTCTACGTGTATTTCTGCGTGATGGAGGCTGATCCTCTGGAACAGGGGTTACAGACAGGTGTGAGCTGCCATGTGGGTGCTGGGACTTGAACTTGGACTTCTTAGCTGCTGAGCCATCTCTTCAGCCCCCTTGTTTTTGTTTTTAAAGTTAGGATCTTGCTACATAACTCTGGCTGGCTTATCATGTACTCGCTGGCCATCCTCCTGCCTCTGTCTCCCAGACGTGAACATTTTTAAATGATTGCCTTTTCCTTCCTCTTTTTCCCACTTTAGACAGGGTTTCCTTGGGCAGTTTAAAGCTGACCTTGAACTTGTTCTTCCCGCCCACCTGGCCTCCTAACTCCTGCCTTACCCTCCCACGGGATAAAAAGGCATGCTGAGCTGAAATTATTATCAATAGTAGAATGTGTGTACCGATTCGTCATATTTAATTTAACAATTCTGAGGCCCACAAGATGGCTCCGCAGTTAACGGTGCTTGCCGCCAAGCCTGGCGACCTGAGTTTGAGTCCTCAAATCCGTGCAATGAAATGAGAGACCTGACTCCCACAAATTATCCTCTGACCTCCATAGGTGTGCTAAACACAGACATGTCGCCACCACACACGGACAGGCTGTGCTCACTCTCTCCGTGCTAATTGATGCCCTGGTGCTTTTGAGTTCCGTTGCCGGACTAAATTGCCGTAGTATTTTCTTGGCTGTGCTGTTGTGGTTTGCTTTGTTTTGAATGCTGGGGCAAGTTAAGCATCAGGCCTATGTAGAAGCATCTATGCAGTCAAGTGCTCTACCACTGAGCATACCCCCTCTGCAGAAGCGTCTATGAATCCCTTTATCGGGTCTCTGAGTTTGGGGTTATGAATGAATGATTAACTGGGACAAGAAGGTCTCCCCTTTCTCAAGGACCCAGACAGACTCACTACAGAGGGCAGTGGCCTGGCCATCTGCACCTTCCCATAAGTCTCAGCATTTGGGCTGGTCAGGAAATAGGAAAGAGGCGAGTTATGATCAGTCTGGGGCCTGAACCTTGTAAAACTGGCCACCCAACCCAGTTTTACAGGGCAGGCAGCAAGAGGCCAGGCCTGCTCCACCCAGCCTGCTTCCTCTCTGCAGGCCCATCCTGAGAACACTATGTTTTCACTCCAGGGGGCATTGACCCTATTCTGTCATAGTAATTGTCCCCATAAAATGAGCCCTAAGACAAAGCTGCCCATATTTAGAGCCCCGAGGCTGGCCTGCCTTATCTCGCTGTGGTAGTACCTGGAGAACATCAGCCTGGGCCACTGACAAGGAGCCAGTAAGAGCAGGCAGCAGAGAAGAGGGAAAACCTTCATGGAGGCCCTGCTTCCCACGACTGACAGTCTAAGCATCCTTCGCAGTAACACCTGCAGCTCGCTCAGGGACAGAACCCTTAGTGACCTGCCTGCCTCTGCGTCCTCCCTCCCAGCCTGTACTGCATCGGTCTCTCTCCTTTGGTTTGTAGAAAGAGAAGAACTCATCCAGGGTGTGCTGGCCCAGGTGGCAGAGCAGTTCTCCAGGTACCGTAATCTCTGCATGTACTTTTCAGGCTTGTGGGAGCTGAGTGTAGCCATAGTGAGGCTTCTGTAGCTTCAGTAGCGAGACTAGCCAGGCACATTCTAGCAAACTTTCATCTTATCCCCAAAATTGTGTCCAGTGGCTGCTGGAAGATTATTAGTTCTGGGGTGGTGAGTCCACCCCCACCACTCCATTTTTCCAGGACTTGAAGCCGCCTACAAAACACCCTTTTACAAATGAGTGTTTCCCACTGAACTACTGTGTAGGTCGAGGGGCGGGGCTTCCTTTTTGTTCATCAACACCCTACTAAATTCTATGTCAGTATTGTTAGTTTCTCAGAGCGATTTCTGAGCATGGCAGTACCCCGTAGCTGTCTGTGTTGGTCAGGGCAGGGTACAGGCTTGGGGTCAACCCACCTTAAGTCTACACAGAGAACCCAGGACAGAGTAGTGAAGACACCAGACCCAGGGACATTATGCATTCTTTAAAAGCATCTCCTGCTGTCTTGGTCCCCTCTCTAGCCTCCTCGGAGACCTCACCTCAGGTAGGAACCCATACGTGTTTGCCAGTCTGGGTCATGTTTTATCTTTTCTCCCCACTTTTCCCCTCAGAGCGTTTAAGATCAACGAGCTGAAAGCAGAAGTTGCAAACCACCTGGCCGTGCTGGAGAAACGGGTGGAACGTGAGTGGAGTTTTTTTTTTTCCTTCTTTCCGCTTTCCACGTATACTTTTAATCACCGTCAGAATTAGCCACTTAGAGTTACGAACGAGTTAGTACTGGCGGCAAACACATCTTTTCTTGGCGTGCTGCTCTGATATTAACAAAGGCTAGACCAGGACAGATCTAAGCACGCGTTTCTATGAAGCGCTGCTTGTACAAAGCCGCACAGAACACAGAGTAATACCCCAAATGGCCTCCGTCTGGCCCAGCAGAACCTCTGCCAGGACTCCTGCTCTGCGCCTCTCTGCATGAGATGGAAATGTCTCTTCACGCCGCTATGCAGCTTGCTTCTGCAGAGTTTGGAATAAGTATATGACATCTGCATCTCAGTGTTCAGCCACTGCTATAGGAAAGAAGAAACCCTGCCCGTGAGCAAGAGTCAGGTCCAGTCTCTGTTCAGGTTCCAAAAAGTCACATTTTGGGGGGAAATAGCTTCGAGGCCCCTCAGCTGTCGTGAGGGAATCAATGAAAGGCTCGATGCTTCCGCCCCATAGGCCTGCGGATCCCACATTCCACCCTCAGCTCCTCAGCCAGGCGCTCTGTCACTGTCAGGCTCAGCCTGGCAATACACGGGCACCTAATTTATTAACTTGGGCTGAGTAAACAGAATCCAAACAGGAAGCCATTAAGAGGCAAGCATCCCCGAAGAATATGTGGCAGATTCTGTTCGGAAGATTGAGTGGATGTCTTTCTTTCTTTTCTTTTTTTTTCTTTTTTCTTTTTTTTTTTTGTATCTTGCTTTTTAATTGCTTCTCTTCTTTTTTTTTCAAGAAAAAAAATTTCTATCACATAAAACCCAGCTCCCTGGAATAAGCTGAAACACGTTCCCATCGTCTCTCTCATGTGTCCTCCTCAAAGCACGTTGACTTTTCCCAATTCAGCTGATCTTTGAGTCCTCAAGACTATCTTGTCTTGCCTGGGATGATGGGAATCACAGATAGTGACCCCTCCAGTTCTTTCAGCAAATGAGACAAGAAAAGACCAGTGTCTGGAGTCCATGCCACCTTTCCTTAGGGAGGCGGCACCCTCCTGCACGCCTGTCTTGCCATCTTGATGGCTCTGAACAGAAGAGATCTTGGGGAGCCCGCCACACTGCTAGAGGGTGTGGTGCAGCATGACCCCCCACACACACACACACTAACCCCCCCCCACACACACACACTAACCCCCCCCCACACACACACACACTATTGTAACTCCTAGTGCCTCTGTCACCCCACGGTCCCCGCTGCCATTGCTCCCATTGTTACCAGATTCCAAGCCTGCTGGAGCTGAAGCACAGCCAGATTAGGGGAGTGTGCACTCCTGGGGCCACCTCACAATTTTACACCTCAGAGTGCCGCACCTTGGGGGTCTGAATCCCAGCAGTGCCTTCTGGGAGCCGGAAACTCTGGCTCAGAAAGTATCAGCAGGGCTGGCGCCTCTGGGATCTAAGCGAGAGTCATTTCTAGGCTGTCTCTGGTAGTTGGTTACCTGGCTGGAATCATTCCATGGCTGCAGCCTGCCCCTGTCTTCATGTGGCTACCTCCTCCCAGCCACCATATCTCAGTACTCCCTGTCTGTTTCTTAAAATGCCTCTGTTTGAATCAAGGATGGTCCCATCTCAAGTTCTCTGTCTAATAACTGCCAAGATCTCTCATCTAAATCAAGCAGCATTCACAGGACCCGGGATTTAGGATAGGTCACATGCTCTGTGAGGCACAGTTCAACCCACTGCAGTGAGCATCCATCGTTCCCTCTTTCTCAGTGGAGATCAGATTAGTCTCCTGCTGAGATGTATGGAGTATTGGACTCTCTAAACGTGAGAGGGACTTTAGCCACAGACCATGGAAGGAGCTCACTGCCAGGGCACCAGCCACATCAACAGATACATAAAGCCACTGTCACCATTTGGCTTATGACTGCCACACCCAGCAGGTACCTCCTCAACTTCTATTTGTCTCTCCTCTTCTGATGCCTCGTCTGTCCCTGGTCCCCAACTGTAGGTCTCACTTCTGGCATCTCCGTGTCTTCTTGCATCCCCAGGAGTGGCCTTGTATGCACGGGCTCTCTGCCACAGAAATCCAGCTGGCTCTGGGCTCATTCATTCCCGGTCCTCTTAGCTGACCACTTCCTAGTCTCCAGAGTCTCCAGAGACCTCTCCTTTTAGCATGGATATAGCCAGGAATGTCACCCATGCTAATCCCCAGGGACTTTGAGTTTCAGGTACTTAGGTCCTCACTCTGAAGATGCAGATAGGGCTTGTCGGGTATATACAAGTAGGAGAGACAGGGTGAAAAGTTTGAATGGGGACTACGGTCAGACCTCGTTCGGAGCAGGATGCTAGGGAAATGTCCAACCCAGATGGTCCTGACCCTGTATGACTGCATAGGCTGCCAGGAGCTCAGCTCGAGTCCCTGCTCCATATAGACACAACCATGCAAAAATATGTGCATAAAGACATGGACAGACACACGCGTGGGCATGCATACACATACAACTTCACCTGGCCGCCATCAGCTATTATCTGTGTCTCAGGGTGAGGGACATCCAGCTAGCCAGGCCGCCTGTAAACCTCCACACTGCACTGACCTTGTCATGAATGGAATTTCCTGCTTGCCCTTTGACCTTAAGCCAAATACACGGTTCTCCTCCAGTGACTTCCAGCGCTTTTTCTCCCTTTCTGTGTAAATGTTTAGCCTTTAAGGCGTGTGGGATTACTGGTGGGTCAAAGGTGATTTCATAACCATGGAACAGCCTGGCCCTCACCTCCTGTCCTGCCTGGAGCTATTCACTTCCTTTCTGGTGTGCTGGGGGTGGGGGGCACAGGGAAACCCTGCTCCCTCTACCCTTTGTACCCATGCCCTGGACCTGAACCAAGACCTAAACAACAGTGTGGGCCACAGCCAGAGCTAACCCCTGGGAGCAGAGTTGGACACGGGGCATACAAACAATCCAGAATTTCCATACTGAACTGAACCAAACCAGCCCTTCTGTATCTGCTCCCCACTCCCAGGAACTGTGCCTGAGGCAAACCTTCAGAGCAGCCCCAGGAAAAGGCTTTGGAAAGCTCAGCTCCCTGCCTTTGAGAGGAGAGCCTTAGTTTTGCAACCAGGAGAGAACAAGCCCCCCAGATAACGTGGAAGAAGGGGGAAACCACCTTAGCTACTGCTATGGCCCCTTTTCCTTCGAGCCACCATCTCTTAGGAAGTCACTCTCAAATCTTTTCATTGGGAGGTAAAGATACAGAAGTCCACACAAAATCCTTCCAAAGTTGGAGCTGGAGAGATGGCTCGGTGATTAAGAACACTGGCTGCAATTCCAGAGGACCTGGGCTCAGCTTCCTGCACGCACCCACAAGGCAACTGTCTTTAACTCCGGTTACAGGGGATCCAGCACCCTCTTCTGGCCTCCTGGGGCACTGCACTTAGGTGGTGCATTGACACCCATGAATGCAAAACATGCATGCACATTATTTTTTCAGAAATCCCTTCTGAAGTCCACATGTACTTCCAAGGTTTCAAAGGAAGATAATTCTGCACAGCAGCATGGCAAAAGGTCACGTTGATTGCATCACCAGGGCCCTGGCAAGGTTAAATGATTCAGGGAACTTCTACTTTAGCTTGGGGTATCTGTGCCTACCTATATGCCAAGCTTAAGAGAAAACAAGAGGGCCCTAAAGGATGGAACTTGGGCCAGGCCATGAGCACAGCAGCCTCCCACCGTTGTTTTTGACCGCCTCGCCTCTCTGTATGGAGCATCCGTACCCTGAAGTAGGCTTCCTTCTCCTTGGAGTGATGGAGGAACTGGAATGGGGCCTGCCATGAGCTGCAGAATCCCTGGTGTAGATCACACCTGTACTCCCAGTGACTGACAAACCAAGGCATGAGTGGCCGTTGCACGTTTGAGCCGATCTGTGTCACACGGGACAGCTGTCTCAAACCCACACGGCAAGCAGAGCTGTGGATCACTTCTCCGTGGGACCGCTCACTTCCCACAAGGTCCTGCCTCTCGTGCATCGTTCGATTTGAGCGGCAAGCTTGCTGTGGTTGTTGATTTACCACGTATTGCATTCGTGTTCTAGAGGCATGCCTTTGGCCTGCAAATATATAACCAGGAGGTCTAAACAAGGCCACAGCGGCCAAATTAAATCCATTGCTAAGGACCCCCGGGGTGCCTGAGCACCTATCCTGAGAAGAACACCCTTGACCTTCAGCTTCTTTGGGTGCCAGCGATACACCCAAAGGAGGGTGACTGAGTGGGTGAACAAACATGCCCGGCCTCTGTGTGTCCCCCCGACTTATCCCCAGGCTGCCACCACTCTTAACCCAGCCACTGGCACCTGAGGCCTTCATTTTGTTTTGCACAGCTTCCTGCCAGCCTTGTATGGGAAGGACGGAAGTTTCTTTGGCCCAGAAGCAAGTCACCAGGACCAGAGCTGACTGTGTCCCTTTGTGCAGAAGAGGCAGTGTCCCTATGGAGTCCTATCCCAGCTTAACTACTACTACCTTGAAAAGTTCTAGAAAGCCCAGAAGGAGGCTGAGTTATGCCAGGCTCCCGAGCTACGGCTCCTCTTCTTGAATGAGAGGCATTGTTAGGAACTTGCCAACTCCCTAAATGGCTGTTTTTCCTTTAGAAGGGGCATGCTGTGTTTTTTTTTTATAAAGATTTATTTATTATGTATACAACATTCTGCCTCTATGTATGCCCGCACGCCAGAGGAGGGTGCCAGATCTCACTACAGATGGTTGTGAGCCACCATGTGGTTGCTGGGAATTGAACTCAGGACCTCTGGAAGAGCAGTCAGTGCTCTTAACCTCTGAGCCATCTCTCCAGCCCCCGTGCTGTGTTTTTAACAGTTATTCTGAGCCCAACTGAGTGAGAAAGAGAATACATTGTCACGGTGGGCACTGTCCTTTGACAGAAAACCAAGAGGTGGTCATAAAATAACATAATCATTGTTTTGGTTCCTCAAGAACCCAGCTTCCGGCAGCATTTCCAGGCATTCCCCGCATTTCCGAGGGAACATCTTGGCTAGTAGCTTGTTGGCAGGCACACCCTCCAGTTCACTGGGACACACACACACATACACACCCGCCCAGAATGTGACTGAGTCTCACTCACCCTGCTCTTCCTTGACGTTGCCTGTTTGTTTCTTGACTGGTGGGGAGCTGAGGGATCCCCACATATCAGTAGCATGGGAAGGCGTGGAAGCGTCTGCTGTGAGCCAGCATCCTCCCGAGACCCTCAGCTACCAGCCTGACTAGATCCTTGCGACTACTTCTGGTGACCCCATCTGTGTCTGTTTGTCACCAGTGGAAGGACTTAAAGTGGTGGAGATCGAAAAATGCAAGAGTGACATTAAGAAGATGCGGGAGGAGCTGGCCGCCAGAAACAGCAGGTGAGTGTGTGCCCGGAGCCTGCAGCACTTGGCCCTGGAAAGGGGTCCGTGTGGAAAGCATGCAATGGAATATGGCTTTGTGTCCCCACACACAAAAGCTATTGTGACTTGGTTCCAACGTGGTTGACACTAGCTAGAGGAAGCCTGTTGTGCCAATGCTCCTCCATCCCATTCTCTTGAAGAGTTTTGTTTCTTTGTTTATTTTTAGTTTATATGTATGAGTGTTACCTGTATGTGTGTCCGTGCACCATTTGCATGTCTGGTGCCCATGGTGACCGAAAGAGTCAGATCCTCTGGAACTAGAGTTACAGGCAGTTGTGAGTTGCCATGTGGGTGCTGGGTATAGAACCCAGGTCCTCTGCAAGAACAGTAAGTGCTCACATAGCTGCTCAGCCATCTTCCCAACCCCCTATGTTTTCTTAAAAAGTGGGTTTTGTTGCAGGCGCGAGCTGGAAAATGGCCGCACAGGAGAGGGAGCTCCCTCTCCTTCAGACCTGTGTGACCGTAAATTCCCCACTTGAAGGAAGTTGAGGTCTGGTTTTTGTTGTTTTGTTTTGGGTTTTTTGTTGTGGTTGTGGGTGTTGTTTTTGTTTGTTTATTTAGCTGTGGTTGTCTTGGAACTCGCTCTTTAGACCAGGCTGGCCTTGAACTAACTGGGATTCATCCCCCTGCCTCTGTCTCCCGAGTGCTGGGATTAAATACACATGCCCCCACACCCAGCTGCTATCTATTTTTAAAGATAGTGGTAAGAAGACAAAGGTGTTTGGCTTATAGGGAACCCCAGTTTTCACCCCCAGGTCTCCCAGTTCCCAGGGGAGCCCCTTCTGGCAGAGGGGCACAGCAAGTGTTCCCATTGTCATGAACTTGGATCACACAGCCCATCAAAGGTGGTGTCCGCAGAGGCCGGTGACCAGTAATCCAAGCAAAATGTGCCTACTGGATAGTTGGTCAGCAGGACTATCCACAAAAAACCAGAGTGCATGACCATAGAGCAACCCCGGAGCAAGGACCAGCCCTAAACAAGCAATCTCAGTTGTCTTAGAATCCCAAACTGCACTGGAGACCACTGCCTGAACTCAAATAAAGCCAGGCTGCCTGCTGAGGGTGGGTGTGGCTCTTGCCTGCAGGTAGGAGGTACGTGGAAAGCCAGTGGTCCCTGTGCAGTTGTCTCAGGGAGGGCGAGAGGTACACCCTGTTGTCCTATGGGAACCCTGTCATGCTCAGTGTCACATGGACTGGCCAGCTGGTGTAGAGTTTGGGAGCCCTTGTTCCTTTGATTTGGATGAAACAGGGCAAAGCATTTTGCAGCCATAGGAAACTGAGTGAATAGTGCACTCCCATTGTCCTTAAGAAAGTAGCTCTTCAGGGGTCAAGAGAGTCCCACTAAGAAGAACCCAGGGGCAGATGGTAGTCAGCTGAGGCTGGAAACCAACCTGACAACCTTGGACCCAAGGCCTCACTCAGCCTGCTATCACCCCAGGAAGCCTGACTCTCCAGGACCAAGTAGGGGCAAGTGGCCTCTGTGCCGGCCCCCATCAGCAGCGCTGGCAGTCTGCCTGTAGTGGGTCTTTGGCTCGGCTCAGTGTCACGTGTGCCTCTGTACCCCACAGGTACAGTCTGGAGCTCAGAGACATAAGCCAGAGCCCTCCAGTGCCCCAGCAGGCTTGCAGAAGTGGCACTGTCCATAGGCAGTGATGGGGCATTCCTTCTAAGCGAGATGGGTCCGTGGGTTGCTTTAGTGTCCACAAGGGGGCGACATGCTCAGATTCCACCTCCACATGAGCAAGCCGATCTGGGGCACTGGCTATGGTCGAGTCCACACCTAGTCCTGGCTCAGGGCCCTGTAGCCGGTTTTCTCCTGGACCCAATGCTTTAGTATTCTGAATGCAGAATGGGGAGTGTGGTTTTTGTGCTGCCCCTTCTGTCTTGTTGATGGAAGGAATTCATTTTAAGTATAGATGCACACCCAGAAATCAAGCCCCCATCCCCCCGGATGAGGCTGTGTAGCCTCACCTGGATTGTAAAGAAATGTTGTACCCTTGAGGGATGCAGTTTGCCATATTCTTGCCTTTCTCGGGGAGCAGAAAGAATAGGAGCCAGTGGGGTGGGTATGGGGGGATCACAGCCAGCGCCACAATCGTGAGTCTGAAGAGAAGACTGGCATTAGCCCACTGTGAACACACCCTGCCGGGGGTCTGAATCCACCAGAACCTAACTGGGACAGCAGGGGGCACACGCACAGCCTGCCAACGCCCTGGGCAGGACAGTCTTCTCCTTAGACCCCCTCAGTTTCCTCTGTTTCCCAGCAAAGAAAGAACTCCAATGGCTAGGCTACATTCAGAGCAGAAGTAAGTTGAATGCGGCTACTGTGGTTTCCTGCACCGCACAATGAAGGAACGAGAAGGGAGCAAGACCAAGGCAGGGTCATGCAGAAAGATGGGGTAGAGCCTGAGGTTTGGAGGGTATAATCTCTGCCTTTGTCCGAGACAAATGGTCTTGACCATGAACTGATTGATCCCCAGGGGATGGGAGGATGGGAACCCCAGGAAATGAGGCAAAAATGAGCTCCAAATGGGACAAAAAGAAGAGGTGCTATGCCAATTGTTCAGCCAGCTGGAGGATGCTGGTTCCTGTGGCAACGGGGCCTAGAGTGAGAAGTGGCTGGCCGAGACAGGGTCAGCAGGCACCCAGCATCCTGGTCTGCCCCCAAGGCCTCAGCAGGAAGGAGCGGGATTCCAGTGTCAGCATAGATAGTGCCTGGTGAGGGCTTCCATATGCTTGGGCAGGGGGCAGAAGACACAGAATAGAACACGTGTGAATGTTTATACAAACGAGATTCAGGGAGAAAGGGAGCATCGTACCACCCTACGCAGCCAAGAGAGGAGCCTATCTGAAATCAGGGTGGCATGTGGACAGGGCAGGGGTGAGTGACATGGCTTCACTGGGCTATTCCGTCCGTTCCTTCTGTCACAGATTTACTACATCTGTGTTCGGTACAGCGGCCATCACAGAAACCTGATAGTCTTGGCAAGTGTGCAGTTGGGAGGGAGGTAAAGGCTGTGTTTCAAAAGGAATAGATTTATGATTCTGGGCTTGGAAATATCGCAGGCTCACGGAAGACTCCAGACAATCCGGGGGGGGGGGGGTCACTGATAGTGACAACATCCAGGCCTGTCTTCAATTTAAATCCATTGCAAAGTCTCCCTCCCTGGTGTTTTCTTGGGTATGTTCAACTAGTTTTGAAGGAAAAAAAAAACTTAAAAATACTGTTTTGCGATCTTCTTTGCTTGTAATGTTATGAAAAAAAAAGTAGATCAAATTGTAACCACACAGGGCATATATTTTCCCACAATACCACCCGTTTTCTTAACCCAACACTGCATGTGACTGGAAAGCTCAGGTGTCTAGCCATGTGTTTCTGTGCCTCAGAACCTTCTGAAAAGACACCCCAGGCTGTTGTCAGAGTGCCGTCCGGGGTGTGGGGCTTGGGGAGAAATGGGCAAGTGGGAACGTGAGAGTTTCTTTTGTTTTTCTGCTGTGTTTGTTGGCTTTTGTTTGTTCTGCATCGGGATCCCCACCTGTGGCCCAGGCTGGCCGCAGACACAAGACCCTTCAGCCTCATCACCTGGGTGCTGACGTCACAGGCGTGGACCGCCACACTCGGCTGAGTCTTTGAGAATCAGATGTTCTACTGTGTATAGGATGTGGCTCAGCTGGTAGAGTGTTTGCCTCCTGTTCCCGAAGCCCTGGCTTCCATCTCCAACGCTGCATAAACTAGGGGTGGGTGGTAAGGCACCTCTATAATCCTAGCCTGCAGGGGGCTCAGAAGTCCAAGGTCATCCTTGGTTACATAGCAAGTTGAGGCCAGCCTGGGCTACGTGAGATCCTGTCTCAGAAAAACAAAAGCAAGCAAGGGAAAAGAAAAAAAGTTCTTGTGTCTTTTAAAAAGATTTTGTAGCTATCTCTTAAATAATAGACTAATAGATTATAATAAATTTATTTCCAAGTGTAAGTTTATTAATTATACATATATTAATAAATTTATTAATTTATTTAAAAAGTGAGCTCTGGCCACATTATCACCTGGCTTTCAGGGTATCCCTATATGCTATCCAGGAACCAAGCATCTCCCAGCTGCCCTGCTGGATACCCCTATGGCAAATCTGGTGGTTGGGTCTGTGCGTTCCAGGACTAGGGCTACAGGTCCGGGGCTGAGGCTATGGGTCCTAGGGTTGGGGCTGTGTGTTCCGTTTGCTCTGCTGCCCTGAGCAGTATACAGAGTGCTTCCCAGCCAGAGTACCATGCCATAACTAGTTCTTCCTCTCCCCTCCAGGACCAACTGTCCCTGTAAATACAGTTTTTTGGATAACAAGAAGCTGACACCCCGACGTGATGTCCCCACTTACCCCAAGGTGAGATGGGTTTCTGGCGCAGGGAAAGTTTTAGCTTTGTGTCCCTCAGACCCAGGACACAGGAACCCATGACTGGCCCCTTGCTCTGCACAGTGCCAACACCGCCCCCCTCCATCCCTATCACGGGCTGAGGAAGGGTGGGAGGTTGTCAGGCAGGATATTTTTCTCTTGGACATTTGTTTAGAGAAGCAATTCCAGAGCTCCTTCCCTCCCCAGCCCACAGCTGACATAAAAGACATCTGCATACAAACATTCCACCAAGGAACTTCAACAAGGATCTTAAAAATCTGCATCACTGGTTCCCCTGTCCCTGAACAAAACCGTTTTTATGGAAAGCTTTTCACAAAAGTTTCCTGAGTTTTAAAAACAGCCAAGCCCAGAGTCAAGTAGCTATGACCTGGAATTCAGCTGTTTTCAATGCCTCCAAAGAACGCCACCCCCATAGCAGCGGACTCTGGTTAAACCCTGGCTTGCACTTTTACGCTGAGGTTAAGCCAACCACCCACAGGTTCTCCTGGAAGCCCCCATAGGTCCCTGGAGCCCACTAGTCAGTGATTTGTTCCACATCTGTCCAAGCTGTGCACTGAGTGTCATCCAGGAGACCAACACCTTTCCGCATGGACAAACATGGCCCATATCTTTTGCAATCCTGTCTGGGGATTACATGGCCCAGACGGGAACAAACTGAGCCAGTCTCTACACCAGTCCCTTCTTAAGAGAATGAAGAAGGCTAACCCCATGGCGGCCCTCCTGCTGCCTCGTGTCCAGAATATCACCCTTGCCACCAACAGTTCACCCTACACCTCAGTGCTCAGTGGACCCAACTTCAGCCTCAGGCCTTCATCAGCCAGGGTGTGGCTTAGCTTGAGGCTGATTCCAGGGGTGGCTCCCCCCCCCCCCACAAACCCAGCAGAGCTTCTCGGCAGGGATGTGAACATGTGCCCAGTGGTTTATTGTCCCTTCTCTTCACTTTATGTAGCTTTTACTGTTGAGATCTGATTGACAGTGTGAAGTTCATTTTTTTGGGCTCTGAGCACAGTGAGTTCTGACACACATAGTCATGAGATTACCATCATGGTAAATACAGGGAACATTTCTATCATTCAAGCGTTCCTAGGAGCCCCTTGTAGCCCATGCCACTATAGAGGGGAGTCCAGTAACAACTTCCAAGGAAGGACAGCCCCGAGTCTGTTCACAGCATCTGTGAGGGGGACTGGAGAAGAGAGAAAATGCTCACCCTGATGCCGCCGTGAGCACGGCTTTAGTCACTCACAGACAGACGCCCCACTGTCTGGCTAACATACCACTCCCGTCTTCCTAGTACCTGCTCTCCCCAGAGACCATCGAAGCCCTCCGGAAGCCCACCTTCGATGTCTGGCTTTGGGAACCCAACGAGGTAGGTGAGGGACACCCAGGTTCTCCGGTCACTGGGGACAGCTGCTCAGGACGGCAGCTGACTGGGGGCTGTGCCCAGGCTGTTCCTCCCGTGTGCTTTCTCTTGTCTTTTTTTTTTTTTAAGTTAAACACTCCTGAATTAAAATTTCTAGATATTAATTCAAAATGACTCAGTGGGCTCAGAGGGATACAAAAGTCAGAGCCCAAGGCAAGGGGGCCTTACCCAAGCTTTAAAAAAGAATACCAGCAACCCCTGACCTTCTGATGACACCAAAAATGACCCCAGGCAACCAGCTGAACCCAGGCCCAGGCTGAGCACACTCTCATCTTCAGGATACGTGGGAAGATGTTGCCATGTGGAGGCAGAACCGCTGTTTGGAACAGCTGTTTCCTGCTGAAAGGGGCCTCCAAAGGAGCATCCTACTGGAATGTGTCACCAACAGAGGCCCCGGACGGCTGGACACAAGATAGTGCCTATGTGAGATTTGAAGAGAGAGGAGTCGGTTTTGACCGGAAGATATTTCTTCAAAGTTTCTTATTTGCTAAGAAATATCAACGCGGAGAAAGAACAAGTCCCTCCTCATGGGCAACTCACCAAAGCCTAAGGGCTCTTCGCTTTTCCAAAGCACAGACTCGTGGAAATAGACCAAACTGCTCCCTGTCCCTTGGCAAGGTCAGTTGTAGCAAATGGGATTTTGTGCCTTTAGACAGGAGAGTCCCCACATTTCCCAAATAAACCTCTTCCAGCATGTTCCTGCCCAGCATCAGAGGGCCTTTGGCTGGGGAACTTTGGCCAGAAAAGCAGAGACTAGGCTGGGAGATGCTTGATGGCTTAAGGAGCTTGTTGTCTACAGTGAGGACTGGGGTTTGGATCTGCAGCATCCATGTAAATGTCTCCTGGGTATGGCAACTGCCTGTGATCTCAGCACAAGGGAGGCAGAGATGCCCTGAGCAGGCTGGTTAGACAGACTGGTCTAATCAGTGAGCTCTGTGTTCAAGTGATAGATCCTGCCTCAGGTTTTCGAAAGGGTGGATAGCAATCAAGAAAGATACCAGGTGGTGGTGGGCACGCACTTTTAATCCCAGCACTCCGGAAACAGAGGCAAGTGAATCTCTGAGTTTGTGGCCAGCTCGGTCTACAGAGCAAGTTCCAGGTCAGCCAGGACTACACAAAGAAACCCTGTCTCAAAAAACAAAACAAAGCAAAAATACTATATCAACCTCTGGCCTCCACACTCGTGTGTGTGCACACACACACACCCTCACGCTTGCCCTCACACATACAACCTCCCCATACATCCACAAACAACAACAAAACAGAAAAGCAGGACCTAGCTCAGTTCACTGGAAGAGCACCCCATCAACAAAATGCCAGAGGTGCAGCTACCAAGGGTTCCGTGCTCCAGCTCCAAGGTATGAAGCCGGCATGCAGAGATCAGCGTTCAGGCAGCGTCTTAGATGTGCAGTCCTTCCAGTTCAGTGTGGAGTCACAGTTTCCTGAGCACAGGTACCAGAAACAAAGATAGGGCTTTGAAGAGACACTAGTGCCTCCAGGGCCTGGGCAGAGCAAGACTGTGACAAAGAAAGGTACAGCAGGTGGCTCAGAATGTGGCTCCTCCCACCAGTAGATGGCCAGCCCGGCTCCTGCCTCACTCTCTAGGATAGTCCCAATACCCAGTCGTTGGCTTTAGCCAGTCAATGTCTCTAGTGAGGGTGGCTGCATAGAAACCAATACTTGAGGGTTTGTGTTTTGTTTTTTCTGCTGCTGCTACCCCCTCCATGGAGCCTCCGAGCACAGTGCTCCCTGTGGTGGGAGCGAAGGTTGTCCCCAAGGCTGAAGAACTCACACATCCATAATAGAAGCATCACCCTTCTGCCTTCACTTTGCAGACCGTGGTCATAGCTGCTCTCTGGCTGGCAGGAGGGCACGGTGAGTGGCTCTTACAGCTGGACCCAGCCATGTGACATCTTCCACTGCCCATAGCTTCGGCCAGACAGACTAGCGGGATGCTTCTAGAGATTTCTTGCTGCCTTCCGGTGGTAAGCCAGAAAAATGCCTCAAATCAAGAGCCTCGGTCTCGGGCAGATTCAACTGTGAACAGCAAGTAGGCATGACTGAACATGCACCGAGGACCTGGGCAGCCGCCTGAGCCTGAGATGGCAAAGAGCATCAGGGCCCTTTGGTGGCACACCTCTCTCTTCCAGTGGGGGCAATGCCACATCTACCCATAGGTCCACCCAATATCCTTCTCAGGCCTAGTCCAGGATGTGATCGTACATTGTTCTGGTGCCTCAGGTCCTATGAGGCGTCATCAGAGACTGCAGGCAGTGAGGTGGCTGCCCTGCCACACTGAAGGATCACCCGCTGTCACCTGGGAAGTCGTCCCCTCTTGATCAGTGCTCATCACCATCTTCAGGAGCCACCGCTCAGGGAACAGACCATCACGCCTGCTCCGAAGCCACCATGTCCATCACAGAAGTGGTAGCAGATGGTGGCGTCTGGCAGTTCTCGGAATCTCTCAGCTGTGGCTCCACAGCAAATATTTCATCTCTCCAGGGCTTCTCAGAACACTGCCTGGGCCTCTGGGGCAAACCCAATGGTTGCCCGAAGGTCCTGAGGGCTGGCATTCCGTACGGTGGGAGGACCGGTAGCCCTGGATGGACAGCAGCTGCCAGCCAGCATCTGGGGAGTCAGCTGTCCTCAAGCCAGGGCCAGACCCCTTGTTGCTCTGCAGGAAGTGCTTTCTGGGGCCAGCATCTTCAAAGCCAATGACTTCTCAAAGATGCGTGTATGGCCACCATACCCTCGGGATGCTCCGTGACAGCCTAAGTCCCCTGTGAGGTCCGAGTGAGAGATTGTTTTCTGTTTCTCAAATGAACTTGTGGTACCATAGAATTCTCTGCTACCAACAGAATTTAATTATCATAGTCCCAAAACGTCACATTAACTGCCGCATTCCCAGTGCCCATACATATGAATTAACAAAAAAGAATAGAGCTTGGTGGCATGCACACATTTCCTCTGACAGTCGGCCATGTCAAACCACCACAGACTGGGTGGCATCAACAACAGCAGCAGTGTGTTATTGTCTCATTGTCCTGGAGCCCGGAGGTCACGGTCAAGGTGTCTTGGGTTGGTCATCCCTGCACTGTCCCCTTAGCTCACAGATGACATCTTCTCTCCATTATCTCTGTGTCTGTGTCCTATCTGTCCCTACAGAGTCATGGTCAAATTGAATTGGGCCCCTCCTATGACCACATTTATCTTGGTTGCCTCTGTAAAAACCCTGTCCCCAGTATGGTCACGTTGGTGGGGATGTCGTGGTGGGGTCTCTACATACTATTGATGGGACATAATTCAGTCCCTCACATAGATGCCACTTGGTGCCCAGATGCAAGGGAAACTGGCCAGGCTATAGCCCTAACAACTGTTGCCCTGTGCAGGTACTAGGACGCTGGTACCCAGGACCAGGCTGGCACTGATGTGTGGCCTAGGGGAAGTGCTCCCTGCTGGGACCATGCCATGTGTCCACAGGGCTGTCCCCCTCTGCTCTGTATTACAGACCTGCTTCTCCCAGAAGCAGAGCCGCTGTATCCAGGCTTAGTTACGTGTCCCTTTTCTATTCCTCATTGGCTTACTTAGTGTCAAAACTCTGGCAGATACTTGCAGAGACCTGAAAAAAGACAGCAGAATTCAACACCATGTCTGTCTCGCCCTATACCAAGTATCTACAGATGACGGAATTTCCAGAAATAACATTTGTCTGGACAAGAGATCCGCCCTCCAGATCAAGGCAGTAGAAAGCATCTCTAGTCCCAGCAAGACGAGTGGACTCCAGCTCCTCAAAAGCCTTGAGCGAGGAAGGGGTGGCCCTCAGTGACACCCTTTCCCACGTGTACGGTGGCTGAGCTTCCTCGCAACCCTTAACCCTCGACTCAGGTTGTGATCATTTTGGTGTCACCCTTTGCAGCTGTGTCTTCCTACACAAGGTTGCTATAGTGACTGGAACACACCTTGTCACTTCACTCCCAGGAGGCCTGCGGGCTGTCACCACCTGTCTGGGTGATCCTACAATTGGCCTGTCCCACTCTTCTCCGTCATCCCCATGGGCACTGTTCAGGACAGTGCATGGGAAAGAAGGTCAGCTGGCCTGCCTGCTCCCCCTGACCCCTGACCCCTGACCCCTGACCTCTCACCCCTGGCCCTGTTCCTACAGATGCTGAGCTGCTTAGAGCATATGTACCATGACCTCGGCCTGGTCAGGGACTTCAACATCAACCCCATCACACTCCGCAGATGGCTGGTAAGTGATGAACCCACACTCGGACCTGTCACTTCCCCTGCCACACCGGAATGGTCTACTCTGCCTTTCCTGGTGGCAGTGGGCTTCTGCAGAGCGGGCATCTGTTAGGTCATTTGTCCCCCCGTCCCCCCCCATGCCCTCAGAGGAGTAAGGAAACAGTATGACAATCAAGAAGAAACCCACAAGGCAGCCCACTAAAGCAGAGGTGTGTGGAGTTGGGGGTGTCATGTGTGTCTGGGGGTGTGTGGATAAGGAGGTTATATGAGTCGTGCGTGGAGTTATGTCTATGAGTATATAAATGTGCGTGTGTACATGTGTGTGTCTGGGAGTGAGAATGTGTGTGATAGGGAGTGTATGTCCCTGGCAGTGTGGATGTGTGTTTGTGAGAGTGTATCTGTCTTGGGCATGGTGTGGGTGGCTATATGTATATGGAGGTAGGCATGGGTGCTTCGTAGCAGATCTTTTACTAAGGGATAAAATGAATCCAGAACTAAAAGTCTGCTAATTGTCCAATAGGCCTGGGAACCTAGAGTCCCTCGTGAAATGTCCCTGCCCCACTCCCAGCTTTCCATCCCAGTGTGGCTCAGCAGACACGGGGGGATACTTTCTTCCCTGCCCCCAGGTTGTAGCATGGTGGGACATTGCAGGGCTCCTGGGCTGCACTGTCCTGTGATGGCGAACTTGGGGACACCTGTTGCCTGGGAGCCTCATGGGAGCAGGGGCGGTGAGCTGACCCTTCCCTCCCCACAGCTCTGTGTGCACGACAACTACAGGAACAACCCCTTCCACAACTTCCGGCACTGCTTCTGTGTGACGCAGATGATGTACAGCATGGTCTGGCTCTGTGGCCTCCAGGTGGGTCCTGCCAGCCCCCACCCTCCATCCCTCACCCTGCCGAGTACCTGGGCCCTCCCTGCCCCCAGCCCAGGGGGCGTGTGACCTCTGCAGGGACTGTGTCCTCCGCCCCTGTCACTGCAGCCTAGTCTGTCCCCCACCCCTCCTGCCCTCCCAGGAGGAGGACAGACGCCTGACTCTCTCCTAATCCAGGAGAAGTTTTCCCAGATGGACATCTTGGTCCTGATGACCGCAGCCATCTGCCATGATCTGGACCACCCAGGGTACAACAACACGTACGTTTGGAGTTTCTTTCTCCTTTCTGCTTTAGAAAGTGCCCCTTCTCTCAGGGGAAACTCAGCTTACCCAGCAGCTCTCAGACGGAGCTGCTAACTTAGACCCCTAGCCCTGTAGGATGTAGTTCCCAGCTTTGGACTCTGTCCAGGGCCCTGGGTCTCCCCCAGGAGGGTACCTCCAAGGCTACCAACCCACACAGGTAGCCACAGTCCCTTTTTATCAGCCCCAGGCTCTGAAGGTGCATGGCAGCCTGCTCCCTCCCCCGTGGGAGACAGTGGGACTTGACACCACTGTCTTCCAGGATGCTCCCTCTCCAGGATGCTTCCAAAGGCACATGCAGAGGAGCAGGGCTAGAGTGGGTGAAAGCAGGGCTAGGAAAGGCAGGTAACGGGACCAAGAGGATGGGCCCAAGAACCTCCTGTCTCCAGTAGAGTAGAATGCCACCCCACGGAACCGACAGAGTCCTCCCTCATAGTGGGGGCCTGAATTCAGTGACACATAGGTTTTTCTCTGATGCACCTTCGTGGCTGCATGTGACATCAGATGTCCCTGGGGCCACGATTTGTCAGGGCAGAGTGGGTCCCAGGTCTAGCCATGTGTACTCCTCAGAGACAGAGTCAATGCCAGGTGTGGCCATGAGGACTCCTCAGAGGCGGTCCCAGCAAGTCCTCTGTTACCTTTCTGCACATTTATTGGTCACCACAGCTGCCAACATCAGGTTGCCAACAACATTTTAGCATTAACCAACCCTTAGAATGGCACAGTGGGGCTTTTCCTGTAAGCCCAGCTCTTGGAGGCTGAGTGAGGCAAAAAGATCCCACTTTCCAAGCCACCTGGGCTGCAGAATGAGATCTTGTTATATATGCATGTACATACATATGTACATACATACATACGTTTAAACATACATACTTAATTACGTATAGGGTAGGGTAAGAGAACAAACCTGTTTCCTCTTTCCCGAAATCCTGTCTTTGCATATACCGAAAATCTGAGTTTTTGGAACCTTGATGTCTTCAAGGCATCACCACAGGGAGAGAGCTGAGATCACAGGTTGGACTTCAAGGCATGGGATATCCAGTTACAGGAGAGCCAGGGGTTCAGCGAAGCAAGTTTCTGGTGGGAGCAGGCATCTAGTCACTCGCCCTTAGGCACCTCCAGCTTCTGCAGGAACCATGCACACGCTGGCATACAGATGCCAGTGGCAGGGTGCCTGAGTCTCCTGCTCTCTCCACACATCCTAGATACCAGATCAACGCCCGCACGGAGCTGGCTGTGCGCTACAACGACATCTCACCTCTGGAGAACCACCACTGCGCCATTGCCTTCCAGATCCTGGCAAGGCCTGAGTGCAACATCTTCTCCAGTGTGCCACCTGAGGGCTTCAGGCAGATCAGGCAGGTGTGTGCGGCCAGGGCTTTGTGGGGTCCTAGCAGAACCCTGCTCCTCAGAGGCTCTTGGTTACAGCAGTACCCATCAGGGAGCCTGAAACCAGCTCACCTCACCTGCTTCCTCCAGGGCCCAAAGTGGTCTCCAAGGAGATGGGCCTTTGCCATATACACCTGGTGTCACCTGCATTTCGTTGTCATTAATATAACCCTAAAGGCTCCCTTTGAGATGATTCCTGTGTCCCTGCAGTCGGGGAAGAAACTGAACAAAGAAAAGGGAGGAACTGGCCCTAGGCAGTGTGGGGCCTGGAAGGCACCTGCATTGCTTGCAGCCTGGTAGAGCTGATATCCGCCATACAGCCTGAACAACTGTCACCCACCACGTAGAGCCTAGTCACCCCCGCCCTGAGACGAGCACTTTTAGTCACTTAATACACTGCCCTCCCCACACACAAGGTCCCATCTGAACCACAACTGACTGAGCCACTAGTGCCATTTACAGGGGGTGGAAGGACCCAGGGTGACCCTGTCTGAAATGTGATGGTTGCTGGTAGCTGACCCCCAGAACCTTCTTTGGAAACGGAGGTCTCATACCTCCTTAAGGAAGATCTCCAGGTGCTGCTGTGGATTGGGCCCTAATCAACGACAGGTGGACTCAAGAGGAACAGAGACATGAAGACAGTAAAAGACCATGCATGGGACCATAGAGGCAGATACTAGTATAGACAAAGCCAAGGGATTCCTGGGCAACCAGAACCTATAAGGAGCAGGAAAGAGCCTTCTCTCAAGCCTTGGGAGGAACAAGAACATGCTAGTATCTTTATTTTGGCCTTCTAGACCCCAAAACTATAAGGGGCTATATATCCCCAAAGCAGCGCTCAGTGAGGCCACCCATACTATGCCCATCAGGAGACTCCCCAAAGTCTCTGAGGGTCATGTGTTGCCATCCCTGGGGATGGTCCCCTTTGACTCTCCGCTGGCCTCCTTCCCCACATAGCTAAATTTATACATGGAGCAGGGTTCATCTGCCTCCTTCCCCACATAGCTAAATCTATACATGGAGCGGGGTTCGTCTGCCTCCTTCCTGGAGAACTTGGAAGCTTGGCTTTTTCAAAGAGCAGCCACCCCAAAAACCATTATTTCCTCGCCTGCTCTCTGAGAAGTTCAACGCTAACTGGAGTGCTTGACAACAGTCAATACTGAATCGCTGATTCGTGGTACAGCCCTCTCTTCCGTCTGCAGGCTTCTGCTCTCTCTTTCATGTTCACAGCCCCACCCTCTAAGTGCGTTCCATAGACTGTTAGGACAAACCCTTTTCTACAGTGGGTAAAGGGCATGCTAAGAAGGGAGGTGGGCACACAGGCCAGTGCCACCCAGTGAGCCTGATGGAGCATCCCTTAGTGTGTGAGTTTCTCCAGCAAGCAGTACCCCCAAGAGAAACAAGAGTCATCTAATTGGATGAGTAAACAATAAATCTGTACAAACAGGATTTTCTTCCTGCTGGCCACCCTGGGGATAACAAGGGATTGTCCTATTCCAGAAGTTTAAGAGTTCTAAAATAAGAGTTCTTCTGGAAACAAAAAATCATTTATTCAAATTTTTGAAATATTTTATAAGTAATAAGGAGATGGCTCAGTAGGTAAAGCACTTGCCACATAAACCAGACAACCTGAGCTCAGAACCCACATCAAAGCTAGACGCAGTAGTGTCTATAACTGTAATGTACACCTATGGGGGAAGGAGAGACGGAGGCAGAATTAGCTGATGCTCACAGGCCAGCTGGCCTGGCGTCCACTACAGTGAACACCAGGGGACCCTGCCTCAAACAGGGTGGAAAGCAAGGACCAACAACCAAGGTTGTCCCCCTGCCTGCACGTGTGCGTGCACCGACACCCACACATACAAAACAGTTTGTCACTGAAGATCTTGAGGGATAACTGAATGTTCTGTTAATAGCAGTCTTTACGGGAAAAAGTTCATAATTCAAAGTGCAAGATGATGTGTCCCCTCCCCCACACACAAGAAATATACATTTGAGACCCCCCCCCACACACACACACAAGATTCTTCATATTGACTGCTTGCTTCATATTGGCCTTTGAGGCTGGGGGTCTTATTTTCTTGGAAAAGTGATGCTCTACACCTGGTGCAGAGATGTTATGTAAATGTTTTATGGGATGGAGGGATAGGTGGGTGGATAATGGATGGCTGGGTAGGTAGGTGAATGGGTGGGTGAATGAAAAGATGGATGGATGGATGGATGGGCAGGCTGTGCAGATGGATGAGTCAGGGAGTGGGTGGCAGATGATTGGAAGGATGAGGGATGGAAAGAAGGATGGGTGAGAGGGTGGGTAGCAGATGGTTGGATGAGGGATGGAAGGAAGGAAGGGTGGGTAGGTGGGTGGGTGGTGAGTGGGTGATGAATGGAAAGGATGGGTGGACATATAGACAAATAGAATACTGTAGATGCATGGAAAGCTAGATGGACAGAAGGAGAAATGAAAGAGTGGGTTATATGGAATATGGTTTTGGATGCTATGGTTTTTTTATTTTTTTTATTTTTTTATTTTTTTTTAAATATTTATTTAGTTATTATGTGTACAATATTCTGTCTGTGCATATGCCTACAGGCCAGAAGAGGGCACCAGACCCCATTACAGATGGTTGTGAGCCACCATGTGGTTGCTGGGAATTGAACTCAGGACCTTTGGAAGAGCAGGCAATGCTCTTAACCTCTGACCCATCTCTCCAGCCCCGATGCTATGGTTTTTATGCTACTAAAACTGGTTTTCCTAAACCAGTATTTAGTTAACTGCCTTAGTCTAGTTTCAGCTGCTATAATAAAATACCACAGGCTGGGTAGTTTTAAAGGGAAGAGGTTCATGATCACTCATAGTTCTTGAGGCTGAGAAGTCTAAGTTTGGCATCCACATCTGCTCTGTTTCTGGTGAGGGATGTGGGCAGAAGGTTAAGGAGCAAGAGCGAGAATTCACTCCCTGTGGATTTAACCCAGTGCTGGATGAGTTGGGGGAGAATATGAAATTCTTCATGAGGATGGAACCCAAACACTTCTTAAGGATACACTTCTTACCACAGTCAGCCTAGGGACCAGATTTCAACCTGTGTTTAGGAGGGCATCAGCCATGTTCAAATCATAGCACAGCTAGAGTTTAAAGCCTTTGGATCCTCACTTATGAAGTAGATAGTGGGGATGTTACCAAGTATGTTCTGACTTAGATAATCTATATGTAGTCACATATAGATGAGACAACGGGAAAATTGTCTTAGGATCTGCTGCTGATATCCGCTAGCAAGCTCTGAGCAGGGCTAATACAGACCTAGGTGACTAAGGCTAGGAGACTTAAAATCTGCTTGGTTTTACAAGTCAGCATGACGACCCTTCTGTTACCCTGTCAGGCTGTGATCTGTAGCCTGTGGACATGGCCCAGGGACAGACAGAGCACGCATGTGGGCGATGGTCACACAGGAGCTCAGAGCACAGCATGAGGAGCACTCACTGAGGTCCTGGCATGTGGTGACACCGTGTCCTCTTGCCATCCAGGGCATGATCACATTGATCTTGGCCACCGACATGGCAAGGCACGCTGAAATTATGGATTCTTTCAAAGAAAAAATGGAGAATTTTGACTACAGCAATGAGGAACACCTGACGCTGGTAGGTTGTGTCTCTTGTGTCTTTGGAAAGCTGAGCCATAGCTCAGTTGGGAAAACCAGGAACCTAGGTATCTCCCCTGGCCATGAAGTGCAGGAGTGATTGAATTTCAGTATCCCAGCTCCTCCTGGGCCAGCAGTAGACAAGGCTGCCCTGAAGAGTACTCCATGGGTCAGGGACAACCCCCTCCCTTAAGGTGAGGAGGTAGCCTAAGTGTACGTGGTGTCTGTCCCTTCTGAAAATCAAAATGCAAACCCAGCATGCTGGTTCATCCCTGTACTCACAACACTAGGGAGGCTGAGGCAGGAGGATTGCAGCCACTTCAGACCCACCAGGGCTACCTATACTGGATTCTGAGCTAGCCTGTACTATAGTGTAAGACCCTATCTCAAAATTAAATTAACTTCAAAATGAGCAAAATGCATTAACAAAATAATTAACAATTAGCATCCCAGCATTTAGAGATTAAGTTAATTGCTCTGTGCTTCACTTTGGAGACATACACTGTAGTCTCTCTCTCTCTCTCTTTTTTTTTTTTTTATTTTTGAGACAGGGTTTCTCTGTGTAGCTTTGGTGCCTATCCTGGAACTAGCTCTTGTAGACCAAGCTGTCCTCGAACTCAAGGAGATCCACCTGCCTCTGCCTCCTGAGTGCTGGGATTAAAGGCGTGCACCACCACCGCCTGGCTCTATATATTTTTCTTATATTTCACACATTAACAATTTTTTTATTTATCAAGGCAATGGACTTCATATATAATAGGCAAATACCGTAGACCCCTCAGCCACATCCCCAGCCTTGATTTTTCTTGCAGTTGGAGACAAGAGTCTCATTATGTTGTCCAGCAGGGCCATGCACTCAGTGTAGCCTAGGCAGTCCTTGAATTTGCATCTTCTTGTCTTGGCCTTGCCATGACTTCGTTTTGAGAACCAGGCTTGGTGGCATCTGTAATCCTAGCAGCTGGGAGGCAGGAAGAACAGGAGTTCAAGGCCAGCCTGAGCTGCAGAGTGAGCCGGTTTCAGCATGGAAGAGCCTAAGTGCACACTCGGTTTTTAACCTGGCAGTTTATATCCTAAAAGCTTGAGTATTGGATGCTCTGTGGGTATGATGGGTCCCATCCTTCCTCAGGGAAGCTGAAAAATTCAGACTACCAGGATCCCAGTGCAGAGTGCTGCAGGTACCCTTCCAGGGCCAGCATCCCTCCCCACCCCCGTCCCACCCTGTTTCTCCACCTGTGATGGTGAATCCAGTCAGCCCACAGCAGTAGTGGTGGTGCTGTGTCTGCCGTGGCCCTCAATGTCGCGTCTCTTTCAGCTGAAGATGATTCTCATAAAATGCTGCGATATCTCCAACGAAGTCCGTCCCATGGAGGTGGCAGAGCCATGGGTGGATTGTTTACTGGAAGAATACTTCATGCAGGTAAGAGACACCGAGCCATCAAATCGTGAGCACTCCTTCCAGCTCTGTGAGCGTGGCTGCATTGGAAAGAGCAGACTAGGGTGATTGACATATCCATCCACACCCCAGCAGCCTCCACAATACTGTCTGTGTAGACATACAGCAGAAACAACAGGGTGTGTTATAGATGTGAGACAATGACCACCAGTGGGGACAAACAGTGTGGTGAAACTGCCACCCATTGCCACTCACAGAGCCACTGTTAGAGGTAGACTCAAGAAAAGTGGCCATGGGTCAAGAAGGGGAGGGGAGCCCTGTGGAGGGGCAAGGGCAAGCAAGATGGTTCATAGGATAGCTACCGGGAGATACGGGCATAAAATAATGCAGACAGTAGCTGTCAAGTTGAGCCTTGTAAACTGCCTTGTCACGCCTTGAGACACTCAGCCTGTCTCTAGACTTGGTCCCTATGACGCCAGCATGATCACCTCGCCTTGGCTCCTGTGTAGCCATTCATCGCAGGCCCTCTGTGTCCTCGCCATTGTACTGCCTTTCTGTGTGGCCATGAGGAGCCCAGCTGGGCAGCATGTCCTGTCCTTCCTCTAAGAACAGGGCTGCTCTGTGTACACAGGCCTTTGTGCCTTTAATGCCATTGTCCCTGTGTTCCCTGCAGAGTGACCGTGAGAAGTCAGAAGGCCTTCCTGTGGCCCCATTCATGGACAGGGACAAAGTGACCAAAGCAACAGCCCAAATTGGGTTCATCAAGTTTGTCCTGATCCCAATGTTTGAATCAGTGACCAAGGTGAGAGATTGTGCTATCGGTACGGCAGCAGTGAGCACGCATGTGCACTCATGCATGCATGCACATTTGGGGGATATGCATTGTATATACATGTGCATACACATAAACCCTCTACAGCTTCATCTGCTGTCATGGTGATGGTTGCCTAGCAGCCATTCCTTCTGCTGTGTCCAGTGCCACCCCCTCTGGTGCTCTTCAAAGAGCTCCATGTGTGACTGCCAGGCCCTCTGTGCCCACTTTGTCCCTGCCTGTCTCTGCCAGCCTTAAGACCCAGCCAGCTGTACCAGCTATTGGCTTTCCTGTCCTTCCAGGCTTCTCCTTAAAGGAGCACCTGGAATTGGCTCCC